GTATAAAAAGTAGTTAGTAGCTTAAGAAAGCATGTAGAGGCGCAGTAGTAGCAGTAGAAGTAGCAGTAGTAGTATAGTAGTAGTAGTAGTATAGAGTAGTAGTAGCAGAAAGAAAGTAGCAGTAATAGTAGCAGTAATAGTAGCAGAAATAGTAGCAGCGGGTTAGTAGAGTATATAGTAGCAGTAATAGAAGTAGTAATAGAAAGCAGTAGTAGTAATACAGTAGTGTAACAGCAGAAAGCAAGCAAAAACAGTAGAGTAGAAGTAGTAGTAGTAGTAGTAGCAGACAGCAGTGTAGTATAGTAGTAGTAGTAGTATATAGTAGTAGTAGTAGAAAGTAGTAGTATAGAAAGCAGTAAGTAGTAGTAGTAGTACTAGTAGTACCAGTAGTAGTAGCAGTAGTAGTGTATAGTAGTAGTAGTATCAACATTAGTAGTATCATAGTAGTAGTAGTAGCAGAATTAATAGCAGTAAAGTAGCAAAAATAGTAGCAGTAGCAGCAGTAGTAGTAGTAGTAGTAGTAGTAAAGTAGTAGTAGTAGTAGTAGTAGTAGAAAGTAGTAGTAGAATAGTAGTAGTAGTAGTAGTAGTAGAGTAGTATTTAGTAGTAGTAGTAGTAGTAGTAGTACTGTGTAGAAGTAGTAGCATAGTAGAAAGCATAGTATAGAAGCGGAAGTAGTACTAGTAGAAGTAGTAGCAGCATAGTAGTAGTAGCAACAGAGTAGAAGTAGTAGTAGTAGCAGCAGTAGTAGTAGTAGTAGCAACAGTAAGTAAGTAGTATAGTAGTAGCAGTAGTAATAGTAGCAGTTGCGGTAGTAGTATAGTAGTGGTAGTAGTAGCATAGTAGTATTAGTAAGTAGTATTTAGTAGTAGTAGTAGTATAGGAGTAGTGTAGTAATAGTAGTAGAACAGTAGTAGTAGCAGTAGTAATATTAGTAGCAGCGGCAGTATAGCAGTAGTATAGGAGTATAGCAGTAGTAGTAGTAGCATGAATAGTAGCAGAAAGCAATATAGCATAGCACTAGTAATGGTAGAAAGTATAGTAGAATAGTAGTAGTATTTAGTAGGATAGTAGCAGTAGTAGTAGAAGCAGTAGTATTTAGTAGTAGTAGTAAAAAGTAGTGGGTAGCAGTAGTAGTAGTAGTAGTAGCAGTAGAAAGCTGTAGTGCAGTATTAGCAATAGAGTAGCAGCATTAGTAGTAGAAGCGGTAGTAGTACTAGTAGAAGTAGTAGTGCACACAGTATAAAAGTCAGTAGTAGAAGTATAGTAGTAGCAGCAGTAGTAGTAGTAGTAGCAACAGTAGTATAGTATAGTAGTGGGCAGTAGTAATTAGTAGCAGTTGCGTAGTATAGGAGTAGTAGTGGTAGTTGTAGCAGTAGAAGTAGTAGTAGTAGTAATAGTAGTATTTATAGGAGTAGTAGTAGTAATAGTAGTAGTAGCATAGAAATTTAGTAGCAGCGGCAGTAGTAGCAGTAGTAGTAGGAGTAGTAGCAGTAGTAGTAGTAGTAGCGGTAGCAATAGTAGCAGTAGCACTAGAAATGGTAGTAGTAGTAGTAGAAGTAGTAGTAGTAAGTAGTAGGAGTAGTAGCAGTAGTAGTAGAAGCAGTAGTAGTAGTATAGTAGTAGTAGTAGTAGTAGTATTTAGTAGTAGTAGAAAGAACAGTAGTAGTAGTAGAAGCAGCAGCAGCAGCAGCAGCAGCAGCAGCAGCAGTAGCAGCAGTAGTAGTAGTAGTAGTAGTAGTAGTAGTAGTAGTAGTATTTAGTAAGAAATAAGAACATAAAAAAACAAAGGAACGCTGCAGAAGGCCTACTGGCCCATGCGAGGCAGGTCCAAGTCTCCTACAGGCTTAAGCCAATGCACCCAACCTAGTCAGGTCAGGTCCACATTGACTTAAGGGAGGAACACGCAACCGACTGGTAGCTCAAGCTATCAGGTCCAACTACACCCACCCACATCCACTCATTATTTATCCAACCTATTTTAAAAGCTACACAACGTTCTGGCCTCTATAACTGTACTCGGGAGTTTGTTCCACTCATCCACACTCTATTACCCAACCAGTACTTTCCTTTATCCTTCCTGAATCTGAATTTTTCCAACTTAAAACCATTGCTGCGAGTCCTGTCTAAAGGGTAGATATTTTCAGCACACTATTTACATCCCCTTTTTTTATTCCTGTCTTCCATTTATACACCTCAATCATATCAAACCCCTAATTCTACGTCTTTTCTAGAGAATGCAGATTCAGGGCCCTTAGTCTATCCTCATAGGGAAGGTTTCGATACATGGGATCAACTTTGTCCCTCCTCCTTTGTACATTTTCCAGAGAATTTATATCCATTCTGTAATACGGGGGACCAAAACTGTGCAGCATAATCTAAATGAGGCCTAACCCAAGGATGTATTGAGTTGAAGAACAACCTGAGGACTCCCATTATTTATGCTTCTTTATATGAAGCCAAGGATTCTATTAGGGTTTATTGCAAACATTATGCACTGTTGTCTTGGTTTCAGATTACTGCTAACCAGAACACCTAATCTTTTTCGCAATCCGTAATATTAAGATCTCGTTATTTAGTTTATATGTGGCATGGTTATTGTCCTGTCCAACATTTAGAACTTTGCATTTGTCTATATTAAACTGCATCTGCCACTTCTCCGACCACTGCATCAGTCTATTCAAATCTTCCTGGAGTGCTCGAATGTCCTCGTCAGAATGAATTCGACGGCCTATTTTGGTGCATCGGCAACTTGCCGATGTCGCTCTTTATGCCCTCACTATGTCGTTTATGTAGATTGTGAACAGCAGGGGGCCCAACACTGACCCTGTGGAACCCCGCTCGTGACGCTTCCCCACTCTGATTTCTCCCCATTTATGCAAACTCTCTGCTGCCTATTTGTCAACCTTTGCCTCTATCCAGGAAAAAAATTTCTCCTCCTATTCCAAGGGCCTTAATTTTCCTCAATAGTCTCTGATGGGGACCTGTCAAAAGCCTTACTGAAGTCCATATCACAATAACTTTATTCATTACCATGATCTACCTCCCCAAATACCTTAGTGAAAAAAGT